ATGTTAACTTTAAAAACTACCGTATGACATATATCATAATGTTAAACTACCGTATAACATTATGATATATCTGCAGCTTTATTACACTTCGCTAGATACCTACGCTAATATATAGCTTTTTTTAGGAGGGACAACATTAGATAAGCATCAACGTATTGTGACGACCTAAACAAGGTGAACAAAGAATGCATTTGCAGACAGCACAAGGAATACAGGGCACAGCCTGGACAAAGCTTCCATTCATATTAATCTGCAGTTGGCATCCAAGCATAAAATTATGATATAATATAAGCAGGCAAATAATGCACAAATCTTTTTTTGTAATATCTGTACAAGCACTATTGGCGCACCTTGACCAGAAAACTAAGTATCACATAAGACATATTAAGAACCATAAATAATTTCCTTTCAATGCGCCAAAACAGGGCAGACCTAAGAACAGCCAGTTGACTGAGGCTTTTAACGGGGGCGTACCACATGCAAATCAACAGTGCCGCCTCTATCCACGGCCGCAGTCAGGTTCGCGTATGCTTAACTATATCGGAGAAATCAATGAACAGCCGCGCCCAAGCGAGCCCTAATTTTCCACGCTCAACGAGCATGTGCCAGATAAATATTCGAATCCTGTTATGAGATCCCCTTATCAGTACGTTGGAGCGCAAGAAAGACAGACCATCACAAGAATAATCAGTCTGAACATAACGTACAACTAAAGAAGAGCTACGCCACTTTGTTTCTCTTGCGCAACCAGGCACAGAAGTCAGATAAATCTGGACTGAGTCACAACAGACCCACTAACAACTTTCAACGTCTAGAATTCACAGTAAAGAAAAGCGGATCCGTCAACTTTGAGCAGTTTATACACAAAGCAAATAATAACCGATATAAGGTAGAAGACACAATAAAATGATGAGGCCTCGGTAAATATCTAGCCACAAATATGGCGTCCGCATTTTTAGAATAACGGCATTTTCGGTGCAAATCCGCAGTAATGCACCGCAGTCAAAAGATAATCCTTGGCTCCCCAATTTCTTCAATATCTGCATTTCTAACATTACGTCTGCTTGCGTACTGCAAAAATACGCGCCGACGTCTGTTGCCCTGCTCGAAACGTTTGAGAACTGATTGATCGGTAAATTGCTATTGAGGAATTTCTTATTTCGGAGTAGTGTTTCTTGAGTTTCCCCAAAACATCTTAACAATTTGTCAGAGCAGCCAAACCGGTTTCATTCGAAATAGAGAGATACCTAGGTCTCACATTACTTTAACATCATCCACAATGTTTTACTGAGGGTGTCAAATATGACGGATCTCTGATAGCTACGGTGACTGTGTAAAATGCCACAGGAACCACAAGCGTCCGGACATATAAACTTAACTAACGGCTTTATATCGTTAATCTTTCGAGAAACGTTGGAATAAAAGCAGCCTTGATTTAGTTGTAAGGCCCCAATCAATGGGAGGATTCATCGAAAGTGTAGTATTAAAATCAGAAATCTGTAGAATGGCGTTAAATTCGGCTCTATCTACAATTCATTTCCGATACTCAAAGATCCGGCATTGCCTTTGAAACTTGGGAAACATAAACATTTGCATTACGTAAAACCTCCCAAAACGTTTTATTTTCGTTTCCTCAAGTTGGCTATCGTGATCATATTTCTTTGATTCAATCCCCTTTTCTACGCTTCTTAATACGTACACCTCATCGATTTTATTCATTGCTTACATTCTCATTAATACTTGCGTACTTTATGCTGCTTGGCTCGCAATTAGTCTTAACCTTCATCGTTTTCTCGCGCTTTTGAACACGCAATCTTGTTTTAATTGTATCGCGATTCTTTTCAACTTTCTTCTGAATGTTGTAACTACATATTTTCACATATGACTTAATAAAGCTTAGACAATCCTTATTTCAAGCCTTGTATAAAGCGCTACACTAGTATCGTGCGAGCACATTTTTATTCATTACTAATTATAGTTTCGGATCCCAGCTTTCAAATAACCGTGTGCGACCAACACTCGTTTTCTAACTAAGTTTCGACATGCAAATTTCCGTGTCCTTTTCAAAAAGCGAGCTCTATATGCGCAGCCTCGCCTTAAAAATAGTTAAGAGCTGAAAAAACCCTTTGAAAATGGTCGTAAAATTACCCGTTCTAACAGCCAACACGGGCCTTCCACTAGAGTCGTCGCCAATTACTGCGCTAAAAGAAGTCCTTCCATTCGGTTGACAGGGCATGAATTCCTGAAAGGCGAACTAATAGGTTTTGCAGGACTGAACTGTAAACTTGTTTATGCCTGCAGGTTTACCTTTCAGTCGTCAGGAGCGTATGTATACCGTTCGACGTAGTCGCGGGAACCTCACTGCTATATTTGGAAGACGTTATTGAGACACGGATGTAAACCTTTTAGCGCCCAAGCAGGCGGCCTGAATGGGCGCAATTTAGTACACGTGTAGATGACAGCGCTGGAATTTTGAAAGGGAGAAAGCAAAAAACAAAAATTCCAGGTTCTGGTCGTACCCTGCAAATTAATTGCGGCGTTAGCCGAGCTGCTGCACTCTTTTGATCTCAGATCACATCGTTACTACACGAAACAGAGTCATGTTTACATTAAACTTAACGGAGAAAAACACTTTGCACCATGGCGACAAAAATGCCCAAACCGTGTGCCGCTATATTTAGCAGCGAAATTATTTCGCTATATTTGACTGGACGATATCTCCGCTCAACGTGACGATGTCACGTGACACAAAGACAGAAATTGACTTCGTAATGTCACGGGACGCTCTGACGTCAGGTAGCACGACGACCCTACACGAAACATACTTGGCGTTTTCCTGCAAAAAAAAAAAAAAAAGAACTCGTTAATAACGGCTGCTCCCGTAAAACAAATCTGACATTGCTTGTTCGTTAGAACTGCGCCGTACTCAGTGCTGTTCGTAAGCGGGCAGCAAAACATAGCACTACTTTCAGCGAAACAGAGCCTCGAGCTATAAGCTCATTAAACTAGGCTATGATCTATTGTGTCTCTAACGTGAACGTCGATATAATTGCAACTACAGTAAAGACGCTTTTCTTTTCTTTTCTTTTTTTCTCATGAGTGTTAATACGAAACATTTTGCGAGAAAAACGTCATGGTTCCTTCTCGGTCGTGGCTAGCGCTCAAAAGAAAAGGGCCACCGCATTTTGCTTCTGCGTACATGCGGACGTGATCAGCAACGCTGAGAGGCTACCCGTCTTTCTATCTCTTTCGATAATTAGCCCTTTTTTTAGCAAGCACAAGCTGCATTTCTTATGCATCAGAAAATTGCCACTAAAATAACTTAATCTACTCGGGATGCCGATGCAATTACCCAAAAGCTTTCTCTGGGCACCAGCTTCAGTGGGAAAAACATATATGGTACTAGAGCAGCGCTCGATAAAACCTTAGTCAGAGCACAGAGTACATTATTCAATTACCATGCAAGTGCCGGCACGTTCAACGTGGGTGGAGATAAAAGGTCAGGATATTTTTATTGACTTTCTACTGGTTCATTTTTGTCGCGTGACAACTTCTGGAAGGTTTCCAACACTTCTCCATTGTTCTTATGCCTGACCCCTCAGCAGTGCAATACACGTAAAATTTTGTGGCCTGAGCCCTCTCCTTAGACACACCGCTGTCAAACCACAGAATTGCATTATGCCTCTTAGTGAAAGATGACCCACAGACGTTTCGTTAGTTTGACAGTGTCTTATTCACAACATATTGTCACGGATGACGATTGATGAGGCGATGATAACTGAAGAAACTAAACGTTTAATGGGGGCGAACTTGCGCCTAAAACAAAAAGGGAACGGAAGAAATCAGCAAAGCGTCGCAGGCGTCGATGACGGCGTAACAGCAGGATCGTGCGCAGGGCGAGACTGGCTCCGGCTTGCCACGCGGAGCCACTTTTGCACAGCCTCTTTTGCACACGCGTGTTCTTCTGGAATAATCAGCGTAGAAGCTTCGGCGTGTAGAGGATTCTAACCTTGAATTAGCAACACAATTCTCGAAATTACCAGAACATCACATTAGAGTCAACAAAAATTCGTACCCGCGGCCAGGAATCGAACCCTGGCTTTCTCCGTGGAGGAATAGCGCGATAAGCGTTAGGCAACGGCCGCGCTGTCTACTTGACCAGCTGCGCGCGCAGCAATATCCGCTCACCAATATTTATCCAGACAGTCTGTGACTCTTCAATCGAGAGCAAAAAATGGCGGTGGTGCGAAATGCACTAGCTTTTGTGAACATGCATGCAGTCAGACGAAAACAAAACCATTTAACGCATACGAGCTCCATCATTTCACTTCATACGCGTAACCGGAAATAGCTGGACGACCCAGATAAAGAAGTTCTTTTCCCACCAGAATACGACTGATGAAATATGTAAAACACTCCTTCCCCCCGACACGCCATTGCATGTTTTACACCTTCTATTATACTCCCATAACGCTTGGTTGCGTGTCATCATAACAAAACATAACAAAATCACAAACGATGTCTAGCCATTTTCTGGGTATGCTTGCAACACTGATATGACTGGTTGTCAAAGGGCATTAGTGAAAATCATAGTAAAAAATCTTCTAACTTTCCTTAGGTGTACACCTAAGAAGATTTAGATTTGTAAGTGTGTGCTTTTCACCAATGACCACCAACCCAATTATTCGCTTCGCGCATTCAGCCCGAAATCTTGTGTCTCCAGTGAATGTTCCTTTAGTGTATTTGAGAATACGACCATTTGGACTCAACGAGCTACTTTTGGAGAGGCTAGAAAGGTTTTAGAAAATAATGTAGAGAGAAACCAATAGTTAAGACCACCTAAAGTGCAACTCCATGGTATCTTTAAAAATACCAAAAACGCCAGAATGCTAATATTATTTTTTGAATAATTTCAGTCTCGAATTTTCGAGAGAAAACCTAATATCTGAAAGACATCCAAATAGCGGCAAATAAGTAATTTGAAGCCGAATGCCACTTGCCTGCCTGGAGCCGTAGGGGTCTAGGAAGAGGCAGAGGCACCTGGTGAGGCCCAGAAGCAGCAGGAAGACATTGAGCGTGGACAGGTGCGGCCGGGTCGAGAGCCGCGCCCGCAGGCCCAGTGCCGTGAGAAATGCCGTCACGGCCAGGCCCAGGAAGAGGCAGGCCAGCCCGTACGCGTGCACGGGCCACAGCCAACGGACGCGCTGCCGAAGCTCCGCCCAGTCCGGGGACGCTACCTGATGAGGATGAAACATGCGCTCTAAAGGACCCTACATCTCTCAGAAAGCCGTCGTGAAAAGCAGCGGATATCGTGGAAAACGGTTTATTACTCATCAAACCAGGCTACGGTCGCTGACAGAATAAGAGCAGCAGGACGTGTCTTTCCAATACCCGACTTCTAGAACGCGCTTCATGTATTGTGCCGTGCTTGCCAGAAAAATATTTGAAAACTTAAAACTTTAAAATTTAGAACTTTATTTCCAACAGTTTCGCCGGGAAGACCCGGCTTCGTCAGCGGTTCGGCATGCAGTAAAATTTCACTCGCTAAGACATCAGTGGCGGCACAGGAGTAAAGTAGGGGAAAGAAGGAGACAACGCCCCATGTGGAAAAACATAACAAAATCAATCCCAAAATAGGCAAGATACAGGAAGAAGCAGCAAATAAGGAACGTCTGTCCGCGGCAACAACAAAAAAAAATATATATATATTTATATATATATATGTATATAAGTTGAGAGACAAGTTGAACGTTAAGGCAGAATAACTTCCTGTTGTATAAATATATAGACACCAATTCAATTTCTTTGGCATTGGCTACACTTTTAGCTTAAAGGTCGGTTCACACAGGTGCACTTGCTTACGATTTCTTATGTAACGTGAGGAGTCACCCGGACATTAGTGTTTCGTATATAGCGTGCAAAGCCACTCCTTCAACCGGCCGCCACGCTTCATACGAAGCATAGGTGTCGCGGTTACTCGCGACGTACGCGGTCATAAGCTGTCGTAACGTAATGTAACGTAGAAAAACGCCCCTGGGTGAACCAGCCTTAAGGGTGAACGGAGTACAGACCAGTGTCTGATCTGTTCCGTGGGCGCCACCACGTGTGTTTATGCTGACGCCATAACACAGTAGGGCCGGTGGGGTGGGGAGAGACTGCGGTTTTTGCAAGACTTTTTTTTTTTGTAGAAACCTATGCACATATTATAGTGCAAGAACGTCAGAAAAGCATAGTCACGAAGCTTCAAGAACAGCACCGTTGCAAAGAGCGCTACAAGAAGCAAAAATCTGGTTTTATGAGCAGCCCCTCTCTTCACAAGAGCCTCCGTTTGAGATTAGTATTTCTAATTTGTATCACTGGGGTTTCGGACACTGGTATATAGTTTTTGCTACTCTCGTCAGTCACTGGGCTTTGGAGCTTTGTCTTGTTCGTACCGTTTTTTTTTCCCGCTCCTGGTTTACCATGTAAGTATTGAACCAGCTCGCTTGGACTTGCTTGCACTCTTGTTTTACTTCCTTTTTTTGTATTATTTCTTGCCGAACCTTTTTACTGCAGTGCAGAACCAAGTCTACTGGCGCGATGTCAATACCCAAACAAGATGTGCATGCTGCGTGCAAGGACACACAACGGAAGCAGATTTAAAGAGCACAAGCTCGTTGCTTTCCGGGATTGAAATTGCCACGGGAGTATCAACAACATAAAATAATTGACTACCTAAATATGCTTGTGCAAAGACAAATAAAAGGCCCGATGCCTCATAGGATGTGCGGAATAAGCGAGATTATGCGCACACAGTACTGCCTCTGGCCCTTAATGCCAATCTAAGCGAAAACAAGGGGACAAGCGGTAAAAAGGAAGGCGCTTTTGTCGCCCTCTCCTCTTGGATTATTTGGCCAAAGGGTGGAAGACCAATTGGTCTCTGACAAAAGAGGGTTCCGAAAAATTGGCCCCGAACAAAATAGTCCTGGTCAAAATGGTTCTAGACCGACTGGTTCCAAGTTTCAACCAGGGGTATAAAACACGTTGTTCTCTTTTCTTAAAAGCTTCACGCCAAGAGCTCCAAGCCGTTCGTCTCTGGCTTCTCTCGAAAACTCCATACCAAAATATTTTCCGTCGGTTTTTGCAAAATTACGCAACTGTCTGCTCAGATAAGATCTGAACAAACCCTCACCCGCAACAGAAGTGTACAGCATCGAAATATGTCTGCGAACATTAAGAAGCGTGGCCTTTGAACTCGGGCACAGTTCGCAATTCGCTCCTCAACAATGATTGTTTTTATGTTTGGTTTAAAGTTCGCAAGGCAGTATGGTCTCATAAAGAGAGTGGACCGATTACGAAAGACAAAAGTGCTATACTAGATGAAGTAAGATCAGGCTGACATATATGACTCGGTCTGTCTTCGTCAAAGTTTTATCTCTGTCCGTTTCGGTCTGGATTTGCTTGCACGAACTCATAATTTTCTTGTTTTTCTTTATTTTTTTTTTCGTGTTCGGTATTGCTTGCAAATATTAATCAAGTGGCTGAAGAACGAAGCGGAAAGTATGTGAAGACAGCTGAACGCTCCGATTCGCTTGGAAGTGCACTACTTTCTGCTCATCCTCAGCCTGATTCAAATCTCTCTCGCTCGATGACGTTTTTTTTTTTTTGTTTTTTTTTTTCTTTTTACAAAATTATATGCTGATAGAAAGACTGGAGTGATAGGCAAGCTTTAAACAAATATATATTAAAAAATTTTGCTTTTATAACCGATTGATTAAAATATTTAGTAAAACTGGTACAATATATACGGCGCTTTAGATCAAGATTTATATATCTCTCTTTTTATTCCCACGCTGAAGAAAAGCCTGGGCGTGCATCGTTTTAATCAACAATGACAGAGCACGAACGCCTATGGTTTTCTCTTTTCGTTTCTTACATGCGTGCATAGCTCACAAAGTTTTCACCGAGTATTCTCTGGAAACGGTGTTTACAGATTTACATAAAAGGGGATACACTTTGTTGTTTTTGTTAGGCTCTAGTCGCCGAGTATTTGCGGCTCCAGTAAAATCAACGCTGCGCAACCGCAGCGTCAAGAAGCTCCAAAAGAAGGTCGTTTCGCTGCTAGGTCCTCGTCGACAGCATAGCTTCACGCACTTGCTTATTAAGATCACCTAAATAATCATAGTTCAGCTGTGCAATAACAAGATAAGGTATCAACAAGGACGTTAAAATATCTTAAGAGAACTTAATACCCTTCATCCGCAAGATAAAAAAAACAATATCTCGCAAACATAAGTTATATCATTCTAAACTCGTAGTGAGGCCCACCCACTGAAGTAAATTTAAAAATAGAAATCACCGCAAAATGCGCCTTACAACCCACCCCCCCTATTTTTCCCTCTCTCTAAGGAAAAAAAACGTAATTGATTGCTTAGAAACTGTATGTGTTATATTCAATAGTCGGGAAAGTAACTCAGGCACCTATCCATTTCAACCATCAGACAATTCGGATGTCATAGTACAGGTTGCCAGATATGGTCACGATGACGTGCAGATGGATGTGCAATCCCATCCTTCTGCCTTCCGGATACTAATTGACACAATAACCTGATTTCTGAGCATGAGCAACAAATTGGTCTAAAAAATCAATCTTTATGCCATAAGGCAAAAGTGAAAATTGAAAAAAATAATAATCAATCTCTACTTCGTTCAGCGTCATTTTAAATTCGCACAAACAGGCATTCCTGTTTTACAGTATTGAGGGTGATTCTCGGCACTTTGAGAATCAATTAAATATTCTGAAATATAATTAGGGCACGCCTGCCATAACAACTCTATTCTACGACTTCATCGACATTCCTTATCGAAATATATCCGGGTCGTGTTTTGCTTTCATGCTCCTGGGCATGCTCCATACCAATGATATAGTCACGCATTAATTTGCTATCAAAAAACAAAAAAAAAGAACATAAGCCTTTCAAATAGATTTCTAATCCTACGGATCCGGTAGAACAAGGACATTGCGACCTCATTGTGACCGGTCGCAACGCCTTCTTTATCACGGAGGAAACGTTAAGATATAAAAGTGATTTAACTCCTTCTTGGTGAGGCCGGGGGTGTTGCTTGTCACGGAGGAAGCGCACCGGTGACGGCGGTCGCAAGTAGTTTGTGCACTAAAATAACCTGAAATTGAATGCAAAAGCTTACGAGCGTATTGCCACACTTTGTTCATTATTTTCTACAAACGTCAACCCGAGGGCTACGTCCAAGCACATCGGACAAAGTGAATTCAAACCCGTATGTGGGGCACACCAGGATTTTTTAAAGTTCTCAGGTACCGTTCAACAATTGTTTAAAGGATGTCCGTCAAAGTTCTCAAAGAGGCAGGCATGCCCTTCAGAAATTTTACGGAGTGTGAGAAGTCTCTCATGGTTTCTTGAAAGGCCTGTGGTGTCTGTTGCAATCTGATCGGGAAAGCGCGTAAACCTTCAAATTAGTTTTAAGGGGTCTGTGGAAGAAATCACGCGGCCCTTCAGGATATATGCATCGAGAAATCCGTTTGGCCTATTTGTAATTTGCGGCCGCGACGAACGGTCACTCAGTGTCGGCTTCTTGTCCCACGTGTGGGATATAATTTCTAAGCATCTCAGGGTGCGGATAGGAAAAAACCCGCTCGAACAAAAACATCAAACATTTTTTATGGTCCATGAAACCTTCTTGATGGCCCATCAGACCTTCCTGATGGCCCATCAAACGTTCTTCACGGGCATTCACACCTCCTTGCAGACCAACACACCTCCTTGATGGTCCAACATACCTTCTTGATGGCCAACAGATCCTCTTGATGGTTCGTCAGACTTCTCTGCTGGCCTCCGACAGGCTTACTTGATGGTGTCTGATGGACCATCAAACATTTTTTGATGGTGGCCGATGGACCAGTAAAGGTTTCTGTTTGTAGCTCACAGACCGTCAAAACGTCTCTTGTGGTGATTTACGAACCATCGAAATGTTTTAACGTTGGCTGGGCAAAACCATCAGAATATCTCGATAGACCATCACAACGTCTAAAAGGCTGCTGATGCTAATGACATATTTTGGGGGGAAGGGGGAGAATTAAACTATATTTGGGAGGTCCCAGCAGTGACCGAGAGAAGGCGCCAAGAATTTCACGTCGTCACGCATGTGAGAATTACATTTGGTGTGGAAATCTGTCAGCGGCGTGGTTGCATAACGGTATGTGAAGTCCGCAATAACCCAC